CAGGGTCCCAACTGCTCCAGGGAGAGCAAAGAGTCCCTGCAGGGCCTGAAGGGGCTCCAGGAGAGCTGCAGAGGGACTGGGGACAAGGATGGAGGGACAGGACACAGGGAATGGCTCCCAGTGCCAGAGGGCAGGGCTGGATGGGAGATTGGGAATTGGGAATTGTTCCCTGGCAGGGTGGGCAGGGGCTGGGCTGGAATTGCCAGAGCAGCTGTGGCTGCCCCTGGATCCCTGGCAGTGCCCAAGGCCAGGCTGGGCACTGGGGCTGGAGCACCTGGGACACTGGGAGGGGTCCCTGGGGTGGGATGAGCTGGGATTGAAGATCCCCTCCCACCCAAACCACTCTGGGATTCAGATTCCTGAATCAAGGATGAGAACCAGGACCAAAAACCATTGCACCAAAGGGATAAAGGAAAGGAAATAATGATTTCCTGGATGGTTCCAGGCCCCCCACCCCAGTTCCCCACTGGAAAATGCAGGGGGGTTTGTACCTGGCAGGGCCTTGTGGAGAGGTTTGGGCTCTCCCAGGTGCCCAGAGCAGCTGTGGCTGCCCCTGGAGCCCTGGCAGTGCCCAAGGCCAGGCTGGGCACTGGGGCTGGAGCACCTGGGACAGTGGGAGGGGTCCCTGCCATGGGAATGGGATGGGATTTAAGGTCCTTTAAGGTCCTTTTCCAACCCAAACCATTCTGGGATTCTGTGGTTCCAGGAGGAGCTGCTGGGCAGGGAGGCTCCTGCTTTGCAGAGGTGCTGGGTCTGGGGGTTCACCCAGCACTCCCCACCTTGCAGTCGGATTTCCAAGCTCGGTTTCTCAGCTGGGGTGGGGAAGGGGCTCCCTGGTGACCCTGCAATGCTCCCAGAGCAGGATCCAGCTCTGCCACCCTCCGAGAGGGGATTAAGGTTGGGGAAACTTGGAGTGATGGGATGGGGCTGAAGAAGGTGAGGGCGTTAGAACCGACGGCTGATTCAGGGACATAGGAACTCCGTCCCTCTTCAATTTGGTGCCAGCACGCTGGAAAAATCCCATTTTCCTCCAGCTCTGCCTCCCTGGTGCCATCTCCCTGAGCCCCGGCTGAGCTTGTGTCCCCACGGGTGTCCCCTCCTGGCAGTGCCCTCCCCTCACCCCCTGATGGAGTTTGGTCCCTCCCGCTCCCATTTCCCGGGCTTTGGGCTAATTGCTGTGATTTGCTGCCGAGCGGAGTTTCGGGGCTGAGCGATGAACTCGTGAGTGTTTAATTAAGAGGGAGCCCTAAATCTCGTTGCATCGATCCGCTGCAGGTTTATCTTAATTAGCAGTGGGATGGCGGCAGGGAGAGGGGTGAGAGCGGGGCTGGCGCTGCTGGGGCAGCCGGAATTCCCATTCCAGGGACAGGGAGGTGCCGGAACCCCAGCCTGGTTCAGGGGCTCTGTGTGCTGGAAAAGTCTCTCCTCCAACCCGTGCTTCCAAAGAAAGGCTCAGCAGTCTCTGTTGTTCGGTCTCAAGGCAGTTTATTGTGAGTTATCTAAAAGATTTTCTTCTGGGGCTGCTGTGGTTTGCTCACAGCTCAGGCAGAGGCACACACACACCCTGACATCCTCTCTGACTCCCGACTGCTTCTTCTCTCCCCGCCCAGGGCTGCTGCTGTCTTTTATATGGTACATTACGTGTTACATGGGTACAGTTTGTCCCCAATGCCTATTACCTATATTAAATGGTGCCTTTCTACTCTAAACCAACCTGTGAGTGCCAACATCACCAAGAACATGGAGGTAAGGAAGAAGAAAGAGGAAGGACAGGATCAGCCTACATTCCTCTATCGTAAAACTTCAGACCCCCCTGTACAAAGTAAACCCCCCCTGTACAGGTGTTAAAACCCCCCCTGTACAACACTAAAAAATTTTCCCCTCTATTTTTGTAGCTACTTCTACTATACCATCTAACCCTCTGTGACCGCTTGTTCCACCTTCAGAGTTGGTAACTCATTCCATGGCTCAAACCCAAAATCACAGCTGTTTCCAGCTGCCTGCCAGGGTGTCACATGCTTCTGACCAAGGCCTGGAACATCCAAAAATGTCTGAGGGACTTGTTGAGTTCCAACAGGGAGGGTGCCCTGAGCCCCACGGAAAAATTCCGGCTGTGTTGGATGCTGCTGGAAGTTCCTTGGGATGCTGCAGGGCTGTCTCACCGAGGGCTGGGGGTCCTGAAGGTCCCCCCCAGGGAGGTTTTACCCCGCGGGGTGGGGATGATGCTGCGGGGGCTGGAGCAGCCCCAGCAGCAGCTCTGAGCTGAGGGTGCTCGCTCAGCCCCACCATTCCCCGGGCAGGGGCACCAAACCTGTGTGGGAACCCAGGGCTTCCCTCTGGCTGCCCTGGCAGGTCTGGGACCCTGGCAGGGGTCAGGAACCCCCCTGGACAGAGCCCCCAGAGACACTGTCTGTGATCTCTGTCCATGGAGAGGAGTTTTCAATCTTACAGGATGAATTACCAGCTCTGAGTGTTTGATATAAGTAATAATTAAATGTGGCACAGGTGCTAAAGTAAAATTTTAGGATTCTAGATGAGGGGTCCAAAGGGGACAAGATGGAGGAAATTGGGTGTGCCTTGTCCTTTTTCTCCTTCTTCATGCCCTCCATGTTTCACTGTGGTGTTGGCATTTTTCTGTTGGTTCAGGCTGGGGACACACTGTCCAACGTAGGTGACAGATATTGGCACGTTATTGTAAATGCAGCACAGGTAGTTTGTGGTATTTAATGTTTGTAACATCCCACTGAGGGCAGAGCCCCACACGCTGCCCTGCAGGACAGAGCTGCGGCAGGGCAGCAGAACATGTTAGAGATAAACAGAATAAACAACCTTGAAACCAGCACAGACCAATTATGGCTCTTCTTTGGCAGCGGGGCTGACAGACAGAGACTTTCTACAATCTGGGAATCACCAATACCCACAGATTCCAACAACCTGGATTCTCCCACTGGAGGTTGTGCCTCAGTTTCCCCACTCCTGAAACACGCGGGGCTGGATTTGGGATGTCCTTGGGATGCCCTCGGCAGGCGGTGGGAGCCGGGGAGCTGCAGCCACGCTGCCCTTGTGAGTCTCTGTCTGTCTCCTCACTCACCTGAATCCCACGAGGATGGAAAACCCGAGATCTGCTCTTCCCACGGAGGGAAAAAACTGGAATAACACACCCAGGGAGCAGCGCTGGACCTGCTGGGGCAGCTCCAGCAGAGCTTTGTGTGCAATTAGCAGCCCCTAATTAGCTGATGCATGGGGAAACTGGGGCGTTTATCCCGAATTCTGTCTCTTGGGGATGGAGAAGGGTTTGCTTCAAGCCGGGTTTCCTCAGCTGCTCCTCTTTCCGGCCATCCCGGCTGGAATTAAGGAGCCACACGGGTGTGATCCTTCGCTCCAGCCCCATGGGATGCCCCCAGAGGCTCCTCCCAGCCCCATGGGATGCCCTCAGAGGCTCCTCCCAGCCCCATCCCTCGGCCTGGAGCATCCCCGGTACCCGCAGCTCCCGTTCAGCAGCTCTGCCGCCAGCCCCAGACGGATGGGGGGCCATAAAACCCCGAGCGCTGCGCTCCCTGTGCCATTTATTATTTACACCCCTCAATTGAGGAGATTTACAGCCCCGCTGTGAGTATTTCCAGAGGCTGTTTCCTCAGAGAGTTGAACTAGCAGGGAGGTGAATTCAGTGTCAGTGCAAAGAGTTCTGTCCCAACCCCACAGATCCGGGGGCTGCTGCCCCACGGGTTTGCATCTCTTTTAATTAAAATCAGGGTCCTGCTGGCACCCATCCAGCGGCTCCTGTCCCAGGGGTGGGGTGGGGGATGGGGTATCACAGCCCTGGGGTGGAACTGGGCTGCAATCGGTGGGAATTAGAGTCCCCACAAAGGAAATTCAATCAGTATTTGGAGATTTATGGATGGGGAAACTGAGGCACATCCTCATGAACAACTCAGGCAAGGACTTTCCCCTCCTCATTAATTCTCCCCTGTCATTAGGACTCATTAACTCAGGCTGGGATGATGCCTGGGACCCCATGGGCTCTCCCCTAGTTCCAGATCCCTTTGGGAGCTGCTGGGGAATGGAGGGGGGATGCAACCCCCTTTTTTCCCTGTGGTTTTCAGAATAAACTCCCTCTTTTTCAGGCAGAAAATTGGGGAATGGTGCTGTGGGGAGGATGGAGGGCCTTGAAGCTCTCAGGGGAATCTGGGCCACCACAAAGAGTGACAGGACAGGGCTGAGTAAGACAAATGGAAAAAAATTGGGGTTTTCCAGGATGCCACCGACCTGTCCCTGCACCTTGTGGTGTGCCAGCACCCTCAAGTTCCCTAAAACTTCCTTAGAAGTGCTCTAAAAAAACCTGGCCTCATCCAAAATCCCCATTTTCTGAATTAAACCCATCGCTGAACGCTCCAGAGCTCCCGGCTCGCCTGTGCTCAGCCCCTCCTTGGAGCTAATCCTGGAATTAGGAGCAGTGGAGCCATAAACAATGCTGGATCAGGGCTGGATGCCCTCAGCTGCCAGCCCTGCCGGGGGATTCACCTGCCTGCAGCACGGCCCGTTTGTGGATTACAGCTGGAAACGGCGAGCAGAGCCCGACGGGTCCAGGGAGGACGGGCTGGAAAAGAAATACGGGATTTAGAGACTTTTCCCATCAAAACAATCCCCCGGGATGGGTTTTCAGAGTGCCCAGGCTCTGAGTGATGGGAAAGTGAGGCCCAGAGGGTGCTGTGGCCTCACATCTCCTTGGGTTCCCCTTTTAGCTCCACATCTCCCCAGTAACCCCTGTCCCGCTGGCCAGCGCAGCACACGGACATTGCAGCCCCCCCAAACCCGTTATCCACGGAATTCCCAGCGATTCCCACTGCTCCTTGCCTTCAGCCCCCCGGGGGTGCGGGGCCCTGACCCCTGCCCCCTTCCCTGATCCCTGCCCCCTCCCCTGATCCCTGCCCCTTCCCCTGATCCCTGCCCCTTCCCCTGATCCCTGCCCCTCCCCTGATCCCTGCCCCGCTCTCTTGCAGGTCGCGGCGCTGGAGAGGCAGATCTTTGATTTCCTGGGATACCAGTGGGCCCCCATCCTGGCCAACTTCTTACACATCATGGCCGTGATTTTGGGGATTTTTGGGACCATCCAGTACAGATCCAGATACCTCATGATGGTGGGTACCAGCCCGGGGGTGCGGCAGGGTCAGCCCGGGCCAGGCTGGACAGGGCGTGGAGGGGCACAGCGGCATTTGGGAGGTGACACGGGTGGGAATTAGTGCCCTCGCACAGGAAATTCTATGGGTATTTGGAGTTTTATGGGTGGGGAAACTGAGGCACAGCTGGTGGAGGCACATCCTCGGGAAAAACTTTCCCCACTTTCCCCGCCTCATTAATTCTGCCCTGGAATTAGAACTCGTTAACACAGCCTGGGATGATGCCTGGCGCCCCCATGGGTTCTCCCCTACCTGATGAACTTTAGGGTCCCTTCCACCCCAAACCGTGCTGTGATTTTGGGATTCCACCGCCCAAACCTGGACCGCTGTGGATGCAGCGGGTGGGGGGTTCCGGAGGGGTGCAGCGGGTCCAAACGGGGTGCAGAGGGACTGGGGGGATGCAGCGGGTCTGGAGGGGGTGCAGAGGGGCTGGAGGGGGTGCAGAGGGGCTGGAGGGGGTTCAGCGGGTGCGGAGGGGGTGCAGTGGGGTTGGAGGGGGTGCAGCGGGTCCAGAGGGGTGCAGCAGGTCCGGAGGGGGTTCAGCGGGGTTCGAGGGGGTGCAGTGGGGTTGGAGGGGGTGCAGCGGGGCTGGGGAGGGGGTGCAGCAGGGCCGGAGGGGGCTGCCCGTGCCCTGACCCCTCTCCCCCCGCAGTACGCCGTGTGGTTGGTGCTGTGGGTCGGCTGGAACGCCTTCATCATCTGCTTCTACCTGGAGGTCGGGCGCTTGTCACAGGTAACGCCCCCGCCCTCCTCCTCTTCCTCCCTGCATCCTCCTTCCCTCCGTCCTGCCGTCCTTCCTGTGCTGCTCCTCCTCCTCCTCCTCCTCCTCCTCCTCCTCGCCTTCCTGCTCCCCCAAAAGTGCCCCCCGAGCCCGGGGTGCCCCAGCCCCGAACAAGGCGGAGGCGGGGGGCGCCTCCCCGGAGCGGGGAATTCCCGGGGATGGGATGGGATGGGATGGGATGGGATGGGATGGGATGGGATGGGATGGGATGGGATGGGATGGGATGGGATGGGATGGGATGGGATGGGATGGGATGGGATGGGATGGGATGGGATGGGATGGGATGGACAAACGGACGGGTCAGGGCGGCCGTGTCCGAGCCCAAACTGAATTGCCTTTATTTCTACTGCGGGGATAAAGGAGAGGCGGAACGCCGAGAGTGGGATGAGCGGTGGCAGGGATGGGGATGGAGAGGGCAGTGGATGGGGGGAGGGCACTGCCCTGCTGTATATTCCTAATTTCCCCCGGGTTTCTGGGCTTCCCAGCCATGGCTGGGCGGCATTCCCGGCTCTGGGACGTCACCCTGCGGCCACGGGGTGAGGATGTGAGTGGGGCTGTCCCTTCACCACACCCTGCGCCGCTAAATTGCGTTTTTACACGAAAAAAAAAGCGAAACTTCCCGCGGGGATGGGGCTGCTCTGAGGGAACCTTTGAGCCAGGGTGGGGGTCCCTGTGCGCCCCTCCCCGGCTCTGCGGCTGCTGCGACATCGCGGAGGGCTGGGGACAGCCAGCCCCGCTGTCTCCGTGTGCCCGAAGGCTCCGGGGAACATCTCCCCGAGCAGCTCCGGGTTGTCCCGGGGCTCTGGAGCGCGGCAGGGCGGGGAGAGGGGGCGGATTCCCTCGGCTCTGTGTGGGAATCCCCGCTGCCCGCCCCAGCTCCCCCTCGCCCACCTCCCTGCGCATCCTCCGGCTCCACAAACCCAAACCCACCCGCTCCCTTTCCCAGCAGCGGAAATCTTTTCATTCCAGATCGGTGATTTCCTGCGGGGGATGCTCAGCCCCAGCACAGCCAGGCTGGGCGGAGAGGGGCTGGGGGGGCTCTCTGGGGGATGGGGGGTCCCCAGGGATACCAGGGGGACCCTCATGGGGTGGGGGATCAGCCAGAGGTGCCAGGGGGGCTCTCGTGGGGTGGGGGCTCAGCCAGAGGTGTCGGGGGGGCTCTCGTGGGGTGGGGGCTCAGCCAGAGGTGCCAGGGGGGCTCTCGTGGGGTGCAAAGGGGCAGCCAGGGGCTGAGCATTCTCCCCTTGCAGGGGGCTGCTGCCTGCCCAAGGCCACCCCAGAGCTGCTGGAGGGGACCCAGGCAGAGCCCCAAAGCTTGTGAGGGGCTGGCAAGGAGGGGACATGCTCCAGGGGGACCCTGCAAGGCTCCCTGGGAGCGGGATGAGGACGTGGCACCCCAAAAGCCCAGGGGAAGCAGCAGGGGCTGCCCTGCATCCCTGAGCTCACCGATGGGGCGCTGCCGTGCTCCCATCCCTGGCGTGGCAGGAGGCACCATCACAAACTCCTTCCCTGCCGCTCTGGTGCCCGCTCTGTGGCACCCACCCTGCCAGCCGGGTGCCAGCCGGGTGCTGCCAGAGCGGGTGGCCGCGGTGCCAGCGGCGGAGGGAGCCCCAGACCCGGGCTGGGGGTCAGGGAGGTGCCCTGCTCTGACCTCAGGGAGCGTCCTTGCCTTGGGAAAACCCATTACCCGTGCAACCCTCCTGCAAAGAGCCTCAGATCCACCATTCCCTCCTCCTGCTGCAGGACCGGGACTTCATCATGACCTTCAACACGTCTCTGCACCGCTCGTGGTGGATGGAGAACGGCCCGGGCTGCCTGGTGACACCGGTGCTCAACTCCCGGCTGGCGCCCGAGGACCACCACGTCATCTCGGTCAGCGGCTGCCTGCTGGACTACCAGTACATCGAGGTGCTGAGCAGCGCCACGCAGATCTTCCTGGCGGTAAGGGCGCCCCTCCTCACCCCATCCCAGACCGGGGTGGGGGATGGCACCGGGCTGAGCAGAGGCGCCGTGCTGCCCCCGTCACACGGTTCTGTCACCCAGAGAGGAGCAGGCAGGGCCCTGCCAGCACCCCCGGCTGTGAACCAGCCCAGAACTGGTCAGTGTGAGCGCTGCAGGGATGGATGGAGGAGTCACTCCCTGGGAATTGCTGCCTGCTGGGAGGGAGGGCCCCCTCGCCGGTGACTGTCACCCCCTGTGGCGGGGTGGCAGTGGGTCACACCTGGGGCAGAGCTCCCTAAAGTAGAGCTTTGAGGGGAATCAGAGTCCCCAGAGGGGTCCCAGCACTGTGTGGGGCTCAGCTCCGGCCCCTTTAGGGACCCCCACCTTGTGCAGCTGAATCCATCCAACAGTGCTGCACCCCAAACAGCGCTGGGATGGGCTCTGGGTGCTCCCAGTGCCACCAGGTCACTCCCAATGTCCCCCAGTTCACCACCAGTGCCCCCCAGTTCACCCCCAGTGCCCCAGGTCACCCCTGGTCACTCCCAATGCCCCCAGTTCACTCCCAGTGCCCCCAGGTCACCCCCAGTGCCCCCAGGTCACCCCCAGTTCATTCCCAGTGCCCCCAGTTCACTCCCAGTGCCTCCCAGTTAACTCCCAGTGTCTCCCAGGTCACTCCCAGTCCCCCCCATTTCATTCCCAGAGCCCCCAGTTCACCACCAGGGCCCCCAATTCACTCCCAGTGCCCCCAGTTCACCCCCAGTGCCCCCAGGTCACCCCCAGTGCCCCAAATTCACTCCCAGTGCCCCCAGTTCACCCCCAGTCCCACCAGGTCACTCCCAATGCCCCCAGTTCACTCCCAGTGTCCCCCAGTTCACCACCAGGGCCCCCAGGTCACTTCCAGTGCCCCCCAGTTCATTCCCAGTGCCCCCAATTCACCCCCAGTGCCCTCAGGTCACTCCCAGTGCCCCCCAGGTCACCCCCAGTTCACTCCCAGTCCCCCCCAGTTCATTTCCAGTACCCTCAGGTCACTCCCAGTGCCCCCAGTTCACTCCCAGTCCCCCCAGTTCACTCCCAGATCACTCCCAGTGCCCCCAGGTCACTCCCAGTCCCCCCAGTTCACTCCCAGTCCCCCCAGTTCACTCCCAGTGCCCCCAGTTCATTCTCAGTGCCCCCCAGCTCACTCCCAGTTCCCCCAGTTCACTCCCAGTTCCCCCAGTTCACCACCAGTGCCCCCAGTTCACTCCCAGTGCCCCCAGTTCACTGCCAGGCCCCCAGCCATGCCCCCCTGGCACGGTGCCCGTTGTGCTGCCCATGCCCACTAACCAGCCTCTCCCTGCCCGTTTCTCCGCAGCTCTTCGGCTTTGTCTACGCCTGCTACGTCAGCAAAGTGTTCCTGGAGGAGGAGGACAGCTGTAAGTGCCCGGCCTGGGGGGGACAGTGGCACAGTGTCCTGGCTGCTGCCACCCTGGCAGGATGGCAGCTCCCAGCAGGGTCTGGGGGAGCAGCTGAGAAAATCCCTTGAGTTGGGATTTTGCCCCATTTTCCCATCCCTGGCGAGGCAGAGCTGCTGCTGGGGTGTGACAGGAGAGCTGTCACCTCCCTCCCCCTTGACAGCCACAGCAACTTGGGGACACTGTGTCCCCCAGGCTGTGTCCCCACAACCTCCCCACTGCCAGGTTTTCACCCCAAAACAGAGGGAAAACAGCACTTTGGGAAAGTGAAGGCTGACTCTATCCAATCCTTACTGCTCCTCCTGCTCCCACCCAGCCCGGGCAGGCTCGAGGCTGGGGCTGACCAAGGCCATTAACAGCTCATCTGCCATTAATTAATGCCCAGCAGGGCTGGGGCACAACCCTCCGGATTCGCTCCTTCCCCAGGGGCAGCCCTGGGGTCAGAACTGGGATCAGAACTGGGATCAGCACTGGGATCAGCCCCGGGATCAGCACTGGGGTCAGCCCCGGGATCAGCCCCAGGGTCAGCACTGGGATCAGCCCCGGGATCAGCACTGGGATCAGCACTGGGGTCAGCCCCGGGATCAGCACTGGGATCAGAACTGGGATCAGCCCCGGGATCAGCACTGGGATCAGCACTGGGATCAGAACTGGGATCAGCCCCGGGATCAGCACTGGGATCAGCACTGGGATCAGAACTGGGATCAGCCCCGGGATCAGCACTGGGATCAGCACTGGGATCAGAACTGGGATCAGCCCCGGGATCAGCACTGGGATCAGCACTGGGATCAGCACTGGGATCAGCACTGGGATCAGCACTGGGGTCAGCACTGGGATCAGCACTGGGATCAGCCCCGGGGTCAGCACTGGGATCAGAACTGGGATCAGCACTGGGATCAGCACTGGGATCAGCACCGGGATCAGCACTGGGATCAGCACTGGGATCAGCCCCGGGATCAGCCCTGGGATCAGCACTGGGATCAGCACCCCACCCACCCATGCCACGGACCCACGGGTGGTCCCAGCCCCCGTGTTTTCCCTCCTTTCCCATGGAAAGAACCACCTCCATGGGGAATTGGCCTCTGCCTGCGGGAGCAGCTCCTTCCCAAAAGGATTTATCCAGCGCTGGCGGCCCTGGAGCACATTTGCACTCCTACAAACTCCTGCTTCCAACACAATTTCAATATTAATGCTGCCTCAGCCCGGGATGCAAATGCATCTTTTTAATGGAATATCTTATTCGATTTGGAAATGGATGGATGGCGTCAAAATCGAAAGCTGGCAGAATATTGAGTCAGGAAGGGAAATATTCCGGGAGAGGGGGGCTCTCCCTGGAGCTCTCAGCTCCTGGACACCCGTGGGTAACCCACCCCAGTGTGGGATTTGGGGAGTGGGGTGGTGTGGGGATCCTGCAGAGGTTGGATTTCCCAGCCTGGCTGCACCTGGAGTCCATCCCTGTGCCCGGGAGAGGGGTCAGGCCTGCGGAAACACGGGGTGATCTGGGAGAAGTTGGGTACCCACAGCACCCAGGGCACCCCAGGGCACCCCAGGGCACCCCCAGCCGGGTCAGGGAAGCTGCTCCGGACCCTTCCCTCCGATCTCACCGGTGTTTCCCGGGATGCTGCGGTGTTTCCCGGGATGCTGCGGTGTTTCCCGGGATGCTGCGGTGTTTCCCGGGATGCTGCGGTGTTTCCCGGGACGCTGCCGTGTTTCCCGGGATGCTGCGGTGTTTCCCGGGATGCTGCGGTGTTTCCCGGGACGCTGCCGTGTTTCCCGGGATGCTGCCGCTGTCCCGTCTGCTGTCGGCGGGGCGAGGCCCCGGCTGGGCTGTGGCTGTGCCTCCCCCGGGGCTCCGTTCCAGGCTGCCCAGAGAGCCCGGGGAGCCTCCTTCGCTGGGGGATCCACAGCAGCCGGGACAGAATTCCCGGACTGAGCGGGGGGGTTGGGCCGGGTGACCAGCAGCGGTCCCTTCTGATCTCATCCAGTTTGTGGTTCTGATTTATTCCCCTGGGGATGCAGTGGTGGTTCAGGATCACCGAATCACGGGATGGTTTGGGTGGGAAAGGACCTCAAATCCCATCCCACCCCACCCCTGCCATGGCAGGGACACCTCCCACCATTCCCAGTCCTCCAAACCCCATCCAGCCTTGTCCTGGGCACTGCCAGGGATCCAGGGGCAGCCACAGCTGCTCTGGCAATTCCAGCCCAGCTCCTCCCCACCCTGCCAGGGAACAATTCCCAATTCCCAATCTCCCATCCAGCCCTGCCCTCTGGCACTGGGAGCCATTCCCTGTGTCCTGTCCCTCCATCCTTGTCCCCAGTCCCTCTGCAGCTCTCCTGGAGCCCCTTCAGGCCCTGCAGGGGCTCTGAGGACTTCCCAATTGCCCACTGAGAAGTCGCATTTCCCTGGGGTGTGGCATTTTGCTGGGATGCAGCTGCAGCTCGGGATGTTCCCGTCCCTGCTGCCCTTCCCGGCTCACCCCATTGCTCTCCCGCCTCTCCGCAGTTGATTTCATCGGCGGCTTTGACTCCTACGGGTACCAGGCGCCCCAGAAGACATCGCACCTGCAGCTCCAGCCGCTCTACACGTGAGTCTCGGGGTGCTCGGGGCTGCAGGACCCCAAATATGCCCAGGAAGGTGTCTCAGGCAGAGTTGGGGCTGTGCATCCTCTCCCCGGGCAGGGGAGGATCCCCCGCGGGTTCTGTTCGGGTTTGCCGGGCTGTGTTTGCTGGGTTGGTTTTACTGGGCTGCGGTTGCCGGACTGTGTTTGTGCCGGGCTGTGTTTGTGCCGGGCTGTGTTTTCGGTTTTTGCCGGACTGTGTTTTTGGTTTTAACCGGGCTGTGTTTTTACCGGGCTGTGTTTGTACCGGGCTGTGTTTTTGGTTTTTACTGGGCTGTGTTTGTGCCGGGCTGTGTTTTTGGTTTTTACCGGGCTGTGGTTTTGCTTTTTACCGGGCTGTGTTTTTGGTTTTTACCGGGCTGTGGTTTTGGGTTTTTACTGGGCTGTGTTTTTGGTTTTTGCCGGGCTGTGTTTTTCCCTAGCTGTGTTTTCCAGGCTGTGTTTTTGCCGGGCTGTGTTTTTGGTTTTTGCTGGGCTGTGTTTTTGCCGGGCTCTGTTTTTGGTTTTTGCCGGGCTGTGTTTTTGGTTTTTGTTGGGCTGTGTTTTCCAGGCTGTGTTTTTGCCGGGCTGTGTTTGCCGGGCTGTGTTTTTGGTTTTTCCCTGGCTGTGTTTGTACCGGGCTGTGTTTGTACCGGGCTGTGTTGCTGAGGTTCCCCGGCCGTGCCGGGCCCGCCGCGGCTCTCGGCTCTCCCGATGAGCGCTGCCGGCTCCCCTCGCCCTCTCTTCCCCTTAGGCCGAGCTCGATGAACGCTGCAGCGAGATCAGGCTCGCGAATCTAAAGGGATTCACCTCCCGCTGCCAAAAATTAATTATCTTTTAAGCCTCGTATGCAGATTCAAGGGCAGGTGATGCCATTAGGGAGGGGACAAATCCCTCTGTGACACTGCCGGGCCCTCCCTGGGGACACTGATGGGGTGGAGGGGAGCGCCCATGGGTGCTGTGCACCCTGCACGGGGCTGGTCTTTCCCTGAGAGCTCCCAGCCCCTGGGTGGGGGTGGGACACGGGTGGGGACACGGATGGTGGCAGTGCCAGCACCCACATGCTGGGGGTTACTGGGGTGTCCTGCCGGCCCTTCGGGGACCCAGGAGGGCTGTGCCATGGGTGGGACGTGTCCCCTGTGTCCCTTCAGCCCTGCCTGGCTGGGACCGGGCACAGCCACCACGGGCAGAGGGACGGGGGAGCCCACCCGTGTCACCCCTGGGGGTGCCGGGGGTGCTCAGGCCCAGCCCGCCCCGTGGCTGTGGGAAGCTGCAGGATTTGGGGAAATTGGCCCAAACCTCGCTGTGAAGTGCTGGAACAGCGGTTTCAGATCCGCAGGGGACACGGAGGCCGCTGGCACCCAGGGCCGGGGCTGTGCTGGGGACACCGCGGGCTCCGGGCGGTCCCTGTCCCAAACCCTGAGACTGTGCCCACCCTGTGCCCTCTGCCAGTCCCGGTGCCAGGGACCCAGCCTGGGCTTTGGTGACACCTGGACACTGTCACCGCCCTGCCAGCTGCCCCTGTCCCCAGCAGCTCCTTAATGACCCACTGGCTAATTAATGCAGGTGTCATTTCCACGTCCCCTCCGTCCCCCTGGCAGCAGTGGCAGCTCAGGGACTCGCGGGCGCTCCTGCCCCCAAAGTGGGGACACGTGGTGGCTCCTGGAGGGGACAGGGAGGGGACACCGGGGTGCCACTGCTCCTCTTAGCAGTGAAGGGACAAGCAAGGCTCTGTGGGGCGGGCCACTCGTGTCCCTGGGGCCAGCTGTGTCCCCAGGGTCACCCGTGTCCCCAGGGTCACCTGTGTCCCCGGGGTCACTCATGTCCCCAGGGTCACTTATGTCCCCAGGGTCACTCGTGTCCCCAGGGTCACTCATGTCCCCAGGGTCACCTGTGTCCCCAGGGTCACTCGTGTCCCCAGGGTCACTCATGTCCCCAGGGCCAGCCGTGTCCCCAGGGTCATTCATGTCCCCAGGGTCACTCTTGTCCCCAGGGTCACTTGTGTCCCCAGAGTCACTCATGTCCCCAAGGCCAGCCATGTCCCCAGGGTCACTCGTGTCCCTAGGGCCACTCGTGTCCCCAGGGCCAGCCATGTCCCCAGGGTCACCTGTCCCCAGGGTCACTTATGTTCCCAGGGTCACTTATGTCCCCAGGGCCAGCCGTGTCCCCAGGGTCAGCTGTGTCCCCAGGGTCATTTATGTCCCCGGGGTCACTTATGTTCCCAGGGTCATTTGTGTCCCCAAGGCCAGCCGTGTCCCCAGGGTCACTCGTGTCCCCAGGGTCACTCGTGTCCCCAAGGCCAGCTGTGTCCCCAAGGCCAGCCGTGTCCCCAGGGTCATTCATGTCCCCAGGGTCACTCGTGTCCCCAGGGCCAGCCGCGCTGCAGCCACAGCAATTACAGCTGATTCTGCAGTTTCTAATTAGCTGTGATTGAATTAACAGCAGCGTGGGGAGGTCTGGGAATAATTACAACAATAATAGAAACAGTAATAGCGTCGTCATTATTATTATTATTAATAATAATATTGGTGCTGGTGGTGGTAACAATAACAACAACAATAATAAGGAAAACCTGTGATAAAACAACGGTTTAATAATGGAAATGAAGTAAAATATAATAACAAGAATAATAGCAGTAGTAGTAATAGTGGTAATCGTTGTAGTAGCAAGTGTATTATTGCTATAAATAAAAATAAAAACGACAATAATAGGGAGAACTTATGGGGTAACAACTGTTTAATAACTGAAATGAAGAAAGATATAATAACAATAATAATAGGAGGAGGAGGAACTGTATTATTAGTATTATTATTATTAATAAGGAAAATAACAAATATAATAGGGAAAACCTGTGGAGTAAAAACAATTCAATAACTGATTTTAAAAATATATAATAACAGGAATAATGTTAATAGTAGTAGTAATAGTTGTAGGAGGAGCTGTATTATTATCAATAAAAATAGGAATAGCAACAACAATAACAGGGAGAACCAGTTATTATTATTATTATTAAGAAGAAGAAGAAGAAGAAGAAGAAGAAGAAGAAGAAGAAGAAGAAGAAGAAGAAGAAAAATAACAACAATAATAGGGAAAACCTGCGGGGTAACAACAGTTTAATAACTGAAATTAAGCAAAAGATAACAAGAAGAAGAATAGTACTGGCAATAGTAGCAGTAGCAACTGCAATATTATTATTATCATTAATAATAACAATAACATTATTAATAGTAACAATGATAACAAGGCCGATCATAATGACAACAAAAACAGAAATAAGAACCAAAAATAAAACTAAAATTAGAATAGACACAAGAAGAAGAGCGAGGAATGAACCTTAAGAACGCCGTGTCCCCACGTGAGGGGACACCAGCCCTGCTCCCCTGGGGCTCAGTGACATTTCTGGGGGTGAAGGAGAGCAGCGACCCCGTGAGAGGTCCCTGCCCCCCTCTGGCCACAGCTCTTTGTCCCCACCTGGGGACACGCCGTGGGCTCTCTCCCAGCCCCTCCTCTCCCCTTTTTGTCCCTTTTTGTCCCTCTTTGTCCCCACCTGGGGACACGCCATGGGCTCTCTCCCAGCCCCTCCTGTCCCCTTTTTGTCCCTTTTTGTCCCTCTTTGTCCCCACCTGGGGACAGCCGTGGGCTCTCTCCCAGTCCCTCCTCTCCCCTTTTTGTCCCTTTTTGTCCCTCTTTGTCCCTCTTTGTCCCCACCTGGGGACAGCCATGTCCCAGCCCCTCCTGTCCCCTCTTTTCCAGCTCGGGATAACCGGGATCCAGCGGCGCCAGGACCCCGCGGAGCCACCAGCCCCTGATGCCACCACGGGTGTGACGGTGCCACCACGGCGAGCGCCCGTCCCGTCCCCTCCTGCAGCCCGGGACACCCCAAAGCCGCACGGAGCCACTGGGCCACCCCCGGGACGGGGACACGGGGACAGCGGGGAGGTGGCAGCGCTCACAGGACACTTCAGCTGCTCCCAGCCCGGCTTTTCCTTGGAGCAGCGGGTGGGACAGGGACAGGGACAGGGACAGGGACAGGGACAGGGACAGGGACAGGGACAGGGACAGGGACAGGGACAGGGACAGGGACAGTTCCCTGCAGCTCCGGATCTGGGCTCAGACTCGCTCCAGCAGGAATTCTCCAGCCGCCCACGCTCGATGGAGCAGCACGGAGGGGGCTCGTCCGGGACGCTCCGAGGAGTGGGATCTGTCCATCAGCATCGCCCCGACCCCCGATTTGGGGACACGGAGGGACAGGACCCCGAAATCCCCCTGCACCCCCTCCTCCCACATTTGGGGGCCTTGCTCCGAGCTGGGAACAGCGACGCTGCGGCACAGCCCCTTCCCAGCACCCGAATGGATCTGATGAATGTTTGGGGTTACTTTGGTTTGGTTTTTTTTTCCAATCATTTCTTTGGGTTTTTATTTAATTTGAAGTGCCTGAGTAGACTCTGGCTGAGCCGGGCCCCCCCGAGGCTGACACCGTGCCTTCAGCATCGCTGGGACCCCCCAAACCTCCCCAGGGCCGGGGGTCCCACCCTGCTCCCTTCATCCGTGGGGGGCTCGGTGCCAAACTCCTCCCTCGGCTCCAGCGGCACGGGGGGAAGGATTTTGGGGGGAAGGATTTTGGGGGGTGTGGGATGGTTTGGGCAGGGATCGCTCTGCAGAAGGAAGATCAGCTGGGAAGGAAAAGCCTTGGAAGGAACTGGAAGGAAAAAAAGGAGTTTCCTGGAGTGTCCCACGAGCTCCTCACTCTCCTTTCTGTGGGATGCGGCTCCTCAGGATCCTGGATCTGCTCCGAAGCCCGCCCTGCACCCGTGGGAGCTGGGGGGTTTGGGTGGATTTCACCTCCCAGCTGTTTCTCCTCCAGTGCCAGGGCAATTTTTTACACCCTGGAACGTTTTTTTGTCCCTTCCCAAGAGGGAGCCCTGGAAGTGCCAGGGCCCAGAGCTGGGATGGGCTGAGCCCCCCACAGCCCTCCACCACCTCCAGCCAAGCTGCGAACTCTACAGGCAATAATTTTTCCACCCTTTGCCCCTCTTTTTTCCATGGAAAATCGTGTTTTTTTCAGGCAGTGATCCCCCTCATCCTCCAGAGCATATCCCCATCGCCAAGGCCTGGGGCCAGCAGCATCTTTGGGGTTTATTTTCCTTTCCAGGACCACGGGTGCTCCACTGAGCTGCTCTGGGATGGGGTGGGAAGGACAGGCAGAGCTCCCCTGCTCCCAGCCCTTCCCAAGCCCAGCAGGAAGAGCTCAGTGGCATTAAAGCTCTTGGGAAGAGCCTCCCCCGCTGGGCTCCACAGGAGCTGGGCACGGACCCCGGGACCTTGGGTGTTTCTGTTCCGTTGGCTTGGTTTTCTATGAGCCCGTCTTTGTAACGTGAATCGATGATTTCTTTTCTATTCTGTAATTATAAAAGTCAAAGGAAAGTTTCAGCTGGTGCTGTTCTGCTTCAGGGCACTGCCCTTCCCCAGGCACTTCAGGTGATTAAGGTGAGGGTGGTTTTTAAGGTTTTTTTTTGTTTTTTTAAAATTTTTTTGCTCCTTTTCCCTTCCTTAGTACTGCCACCTCCTCCTCAGGGCTCTGAATGCCTCAGATTTCCCCATCTTACACCATGGAATGGTTTGGATTGGAAGAGACCTTAAATCCCATCCGGTGCCACCCCTGCCCTGGCAGGGACCCCTCCCACTGTCCCAGCTGCTCCAGCCCCAGTGTCCAGCCTGGCCTTGGGCACTGCCAGGGATCCAGGGGCAGCCACAGCTGCTCTGGCAATTCCAGCCCAGCCCCTCCCCACCCTCCCAGGGAACAATTCCCAATTCCCAATCTCCCATCCAGCCCTGCTCTCTGGCACTGGGAGCCCATCCCATCCCATCCCATCCCATCCCATCCCATCCCATCCCATCCCATCCCATCCCATCCCATCCCATCCCATCCCATCCCATCCCATCCCATCCCATCCCATCCCATCTCTGGAGCCAGGAAATCCCCGGAGGAGTTGGAGCTGCAGCTTTGCCCTCCTGGGAAGGGCGGTAGAGCATCCAAGTGGAGGCTGGAATGGGATTTCGGGACACAACTCCGAGTTTAGAACCACGGGTTCGATTTTAAAGTCAGAATCGTCTTTTGAGAGCAGCAGGGGGAGTTCTGGGGACGGGGCAAAAGCTGTCCCAAATGTCACCTGTGCCGTGTGATGTCCCCACCGCGCTCCCACCCGAGCCTGGAGCCAAGTGCAGCACCCCAAAAAACCGTCGGGACACCCCAGATTTAAAATCCAGCGCGTGTGGGGAATGCATTGATACTCACAGACTCGGGGGAGTCTGGGGGGTCGCTCCGAACCCCGCCCACCCTGGTCCCAGCCGGGTCATCTGCACAGCCCCTGTCCCCTCACACAGCCCCTGTCCCCTTCCCTGCAGCCCCTGTCCCCTCCCCACGTCCTTGTCCCCTTCCTACAGTCCCTGTCCCCAAAACCCTGTCTGCTTCCCACATCTTCTGTCCCCTCCCCAAACTCCTGTCCCCTCCCCAAACTCCTGTCCCCCCACACAGCCCCTGTCTCCTCCCCATGGCCCCTGTCTCCTTCCCAAACTCCTGTCCCCTTCCTAGCCCATCCCCTCCCCAAACCCCTGTCCCAATCCCACAGACCCTGTCCCCATCCCAAACCCTGTCCCCTCTGCAGCCCCTCTCCCCTCTCCCCTCTCCCCTCCCCAAATCCCCTCTCTCCTCCCCTCTCCCCTCTCCCCTCTCTCCCCTCTCCCTCCCTCCGGGCTGCGCTGTCATTCCCGAGGCCGAGCCGAGCCAGGGAGGGCAGGAAGCAAACCGCGCTGATTTTCTCCCATCCCAAGCCCGGCAAAGAAGCGGCGGAGGAGCAACAAAGGCTGAATTTTGCCTCCCGCAGCCCGGCGGCTCCCAGATGTTCGGGAGTGAAAAAGGCGCTTTCAGAGCCTCCCCCAAAGGCACAGAGGCGCTTTTCAGGCTGCGGGGCCAGCTGGGCGCTCCTGGGTGTGCCGGTCCGGGAACGGAGCCCAGGGGTGCCCCCGACCCAAACCCACCCAGGGGTGCCCCCCGACCAGAACCCACCCAGGGGTGCCCCCCGACCCGAACCCACCCAGGGGTGCCCCCAACCCAAACCCACCCAGGGGTGCCCCCGACCCAAACCCACCCAGGGGTGCCCCCGACCAGAACCCACCCAGGGGTGCCCGGGGCTTGCCCGTCCCGCTCTGCCCCTGAGCAGGCACGGACCGCGGGTCCCAGCCGGGCGGGGATGGGACAAGCCAAGGACACCCCCCCAAAACCGCAGCACCGAGACATGTGGTGGGATGTCCCCAGAACCCCCAGTGCCCTTCATCCCCGGAGAAATGCTCTTTTCAGGGCTCCCATCGCCTCTGCTCCCGGCTGGAAGGTGACACATGGACGGGTGTCACCCGGCCGGGCGCTGCGTGGATGTGGCACCCGCCTTGGTGACAGATCTGGGGCTGCTCTGCCAGCCACAGTGGTGCCACCACAGCACGGGCAACAGTTTTCACTCCATACAGCTCTACCTTTGTTCATCTATATCAAGTTTATTTTACATATATATATATATATATATAATATGTATATGTATATGTATATGTATATGTATATGTATATGTATATGTATATGTATATATATGTATATGTATATATATGTATATATGTATATATATGTGTGTATATGTATATGTATATGTATATGTATATGTATATAAGAACATATTTTATTAACATATATAATATATATGTTCATATATATTATGCACAATTATATTATATATTCATAATATATATATAATTATATATAATGAACATATTATATTTTATAGAACATTCTGGAACACATATTTATATGAACATATAAATATAAGTATAAATATAATCTATGCCAGCACTAATAAATATAAACATAAATTTAAATATATAAATATAAATATAAAATTATAATAAATCTGGGGCCCCACTGGCCCCATCAGTGCCCAGGATGCCCTTGATGAATCCCAGCAAGGTCCTGCTCTGGTCCTGCCCTAGATCCAGCCCCAAATCAGGCGGGTTTAGCCCCAGAGCCTCAGGAAGGGCTGAGGACGGGCTGGGGGCAGCTGGAGCACGGTGCGGGCACTGAGGGTGGAGTCTGGCAGGGCTCGGGATGGGAAAAGCCTCAGGAGAGGCAGAAGGATTCACATCCCTTCGCCACCACGAGTGCAGGACCTGAGCGTGCTCTGGAGTAAATCCCTGTGGTCACAGCTGGGATGGCTGCAAGAACTGGGAAAATCAGGGAAATTCCCCCCTGGGGCTGCCTGAACAAACCCTCCCAGCCGGGCTCTGAGGTCCCCACGGTCCCTCGTCCCTCTGTGTGAGCAAAGCTTGGCTCCTGCTGACTGCACAAGTTATAAACTGTAAAACTGATCTGCAGGTGGAACTCCCAGCCAGTGCCACCAGCAGCCCAAAGCGTCACCTGGGGTCACCTCCTTGGGGGTGCTCCCTGCCCCTCTCCCTCTCCAGCCTCGCAGGAGGGGCAGGGCAGCTCCAGAGGGCGGCTCAGCCCTGCTAAGCACGGAATTGCTGCCTCCAAATTGCACCCAGGCGATTTGGCTCCCGAGCCAGGCCTAGCTGAGCTCCCAACCAAGCAGGGAGGAGCTGGGAGGAGCTGGGAGCTCCAGGATGGTGCTCCTGGAGGAGCTGGGAGGATTGGGAGGCACTGGGAGCCCCAGGAGGTTGCTCCTGGAGGCTTTGGGAGGCACTGGGAGCACCAGGATGCTGCTCCTGGAGGCTTTGGGAGGCACTGGGAGCACCAGGATGCTGCTCCTGGAGGAGCTGGGAGGATTGGGAGGCACTGGGAGCACCAGAATGCTGCTCCTGGAGGAGCTGGGAGGATTGGGAGGTGCTGGGAGGATTGGGAGGCTCTGGGAGCACCAGAATGCTGCTCCTGGAGGCTTTGGGAGGCTCTGGGAGCCCCAGGATGCTGCTCCTGGAGGCACAGGGAGGATTGGGAGGCTCTGGGAGCCCCAGGATGCTGCTCCTGGAGGCACTGGGAGGATGAGGGAGCTGAGGGGTGCCGGGCAGGGCAGAACGGGGTCAGGCTAAATCACTCCTGGCCCCAGGGAGTTACAGCTCTCTCCCTCTCCTTTCCACCGGGAGATTTTCCCAGCAAAACCATCAAGCTCCAGCAGCTCCCCAGGCAGCTCCTTGGGGCTGGGAGGTTCTGGAGCTCGGCGGGGATGGACCAGGAGTGCAAGGAGGTGGCCGGGCTGTGCCCCGGGCTGGGCTGCAGCAGGAGGGAGCAGCAGCAGCCCCAGGCAGAGCCGGAGGAGCCGGGGGCAAGGCAAGGTGGGATGGATGGGCCTCCAGCTGCCCCGAGGCACCCAAAGGCCAGGGGTGTGTGGCACCCAAAGGCCAGGGGTGTGTGGCACCCAAAGGCCAGGGGTGTGTGGCACCCAAAGGCCAGGGGTGGTGGCACAGGGATGGCAGGAGCTGCGCTGGGCCAGGGGAGGGGGAGGAGGCACCAGGGAACCCTGTGTGGCACGGGAGGTGTGGGGAGGGGGTCTGGGGGGATCCTGGTGGCACTGGGGGCTGGGTTTGGGAGCAGAGGCTCAACCTTCACCCCTCACCCAGCATTGCTCAGCAAACCCTCCTGGGTCTCTGCAGAATTGCTCGGACAGGGGAGAAGCAAAACCATTTCAAGCACTGAATTTCTGCCCTTCAATCTCCTTCCAGCTCGGCCAGGAGTGGACACATGGGTCCCCTTGTCCCTCTCTGCCCTGGGACAGAGCCAGCCCTGCCTGGACCAGGGGTGTCATGCAAAAACCCCTCAGCTGTGAACCTGTAATTAAGGACTGCACAGCCTGGGGGGGCTGAATTAGGGTTGCACAGGCAAGTGTGAGGCTATTTCCTAAACTGGAGCCCAGGAGTGTGCAGCTGGCAGGGTGGTGGCCTGAGAAATGTGGCAGTTTTGAGGCTGTTGATTTTCTCTTAGTGAGGAACACAACAGGAAATGTCTGGAAGGTGCAAGGAGCAGATAGCTGTGCACTGGGGAGGGCCCCAGGGCCACCCCAGCAGCATCAGCTCCTTGTCACCCTCCCCAGTGTGACAAGGACAGAGCAATTTGGAGAAATTAAACACCAGCAAATAAGGTCTGGGGAGATGGAAGCAAAGAGTGGGGTTGAGGACTTGGAAAACCCAACTGCCAGAGCAATATTGCAAAATTAGAGTCTCAGAATATCCTGAGCTGAAGGGAGCCCAGGTCCTGCCCAGACACACCAACAGCCCCACCCTGGGCATCCCTGGGGTGCTGTCCAAGCACTTCTGGCAGATTTGGGGCTGTGCCCATTCCATGGGGAGCCTGGGCAGTGCCCAGCACCCCCGTAAGTCCCTGCTCCCCCCTGGCTCCTGTGTGAGCTTTGCTGCCCTGTGACTCTGCTGCAGT